CGTGTTCTACACGGCCGCACAGCGCGTGCCTGATCCCATCCGCAGCCTGCTGCACTCCCTGGGCTGTCTTTACTTAATGCAAAATCAATACCTTTATTTCCAGGACAACGATTCCAACATTCTCATGGAATGGCTGCCTGATTTGAAAGTCAAGTCCAGATGTTCATTGCAAAAGAATCTAATAACAGCCCACAAAAGAAGAAGTGTGCTTATCACACAAACATGTTGGAACAGCCTGTGGAAGCAAGTTAGCTGATGGCTATAGATTTGTCAGGCTGACAATTCACTGCACATCTGCGTCTGCCAATATGGAATTTACTCAAAATTGCCTCTCTAGACACTTCTTTACATAACACATATTTAGCTTATTAGTGCTGTCATTTGGGAGTGTGGTCAGCTTTTGAGCAAAATCTCACCGAGTCCATTAGCACGGATCACATCACAGCTGCCATTTTAGAAGTGCAGTGATTAGGTTTGAAGTTCAAATGATTTGATTTCACTTTAAGGCTTCAAAAGCAGTCTCTGGGGTAGATTTACACAATTAATTTTTACTGAGGTCTGCTGGGTAATTTACTGTAGTCAGAGAATCTTCACTAAGGTAAGGTAATTACCACTGGGTAATTTTATGGCACTCCATTCAGCACAAAGAAGCATGTTAGCTGGTTGCTGCTCAGATAAGGCCTGGAAGGAAGAGAAGATGCTGCTTTTGGGAATCACAAAATGCCTGCAACTCTGAGGAGGGATGAGAAGAATTCACCAACTTCCCAGATGTGGACCAGAAGTTGTACGTGCCCTCAAAATGTCTTTTCAGGGGTGTGCATAAGGACTTAGACAATCTTTTAAATGTTGTACTTTCAAAAGGTTTCAAAATTGAAGCACTGTACCCATCATTCTTTAATACAGGAACAAAGAATATATTCTTTGTTTAGTCTGAACACAGAAATAAACAATGAAATTAAATATCCCTTTGAGATTTTTATTTATCACTTACAAGAAGCACTTCCTAATAATCAGTGGCAGCTAGGCTGACAAGCAACCTTCAGAGCAAAGCCAGAGGGGATACAAGTCTATTTTAGGTTTGCTATTGACAGTAAGGGTCACAGGAAAAATAAACTCAGCAAGCAGTGTCATGCTACCACAAACCTCTGCTGGCCAAGCAGAAACTAAATTACAGCCCAACCTTTCAGCACAGCAGCAAGACTTGGGCAATTGGGCTGCCCTGCAGTGCACAGAGCACAACATACAGATGAACAGGATTAAGCACAAGTGAGACAAAACATAAATTACAGGCAAATAAATTTAAAAAATTGGAGGAGCTAATTATCCTGTAGTCTGGATTGGGGGTATGTTATGCTTTCCCCTATTTTAATATTTTGAGTTTACAAAATTAATCTGTGAAGCCCTGTGGAAAAAAAGATTGATCACTCTCTCTTTCAAAATAATAATATAGATAATCTCCACTGCCAGAATGAACTATAAGAAAGGAAATCAAAGAGCAGCAGAAGGACTTAGACACTATTTGTATCACATACACATAAATATGAATAATAGAAAATAAAAATACTTTGAGTGTAAAAGTTTAGTCCTCAGCTTTATTTCATACACTGTAGCACTACTGGGAAAGCTTATTTGATTTCTCTATAACAATAATAAAACATAACATTTGTGTAAAGGGAAGAAGAGGGAATAAACATATTCTGTATCTGATGGCTTTCATTTTGTTAAGTTGACTTCCTCTTAAAGCTGATGATAAAAGCAGCTGTGTGGACTCACAAGCACTTCTATCTACATCTTTCCATGCACTAATTACAAATATCTGTTTTATACAGTCCCAGCATCCAAGGCAGATTTAATTTTATTCTATCCTTCACTAGGCATATATCAAAACCTGTAATTTCATTCCATTATTTTGCTTTCTTTTTTTCTCTACCTATCATCCACTGGATGCATACACAACCCTGTACTTCCTACTGTTCTCTTTTTCTTTCCTTTGCTTTTTGGTTTGTTTGTTTGTTTGTTTGTTTTTTTAGATGGAGTCACACATTCTGTCCATTGTCAGGGGCCAGTTGCTTGAAACAAAGCAGGTTTTTCAACTTTCAAACATAATTATACAGGGCAGAAATGCTTAGACAAGTTCTTATTGTCCTTTCCTTACAACTGGTGATGATACACTGATAATTGATGAGGAGTATCTGTATACCACAGATAAAACTTCAGGTTTTAAACTCAAGTGCAATTCCAGTGAGTGATGCTTCATCTTTGTACCTTCATTCTCTGCCAAACTGATGTCCAACTGTGCTGCTGTTTGACCACTTTAAGAGATTTGCTTATCATTCTCTCACCATTGTCTGCTAATTTTAAAGATCTCTGGGATATTAGGGGCATGTGGCAATGCCACACTAACTTGGTTGTGATTTTGGAGCCTACAGGTTGTCAGATTAACAAACTCTCCTGACTTTGAGGTCCCATAATTCATCAACTTTGCCACCACCATTTTTGCCCTGCTGCAAGGTGGCATTGAGGATATATGTTGGATCAGCTTCCACAGGGTCCTGTGAGCATGATTCTTGTTGATAGAACAAGGATGTCTTTTATATGTTTGAAATCTTATGGACTGACAGAAGAAAAAGCAGCTTCTGGTGACTGCAGTAATAGCCATGACAATGGTGAAGAACACAAGGAGAATAAAATCAAGGAACCCAGTTCCAGTGTAATGTACTCCATTAGGAGTATTTGGGACTGCACCAGTGAATAATTTCAATCGTCTTTTTCCTTTAAGGTTCCCTGATGAACCATATCATCAGTTCCTTGAATCTTCTCCTTTTGTAGTTTCCTTTCAAAATTTGACCAGCATTAAGATTTTTGAGTATGCTGACCATGGAAATGTAGGTGGCAAGGACAAGGACAACAAAAGACTGATCTTAGTCTTCTTGTCACCAATAATAGAATACTTCTTTCTCCAGAGCTTTAAATGGTACTTCTCTCTGCCCTGAACTTCAGCTTCTTTTGGCACATTTATCACTTCTCTTTCTATGTATAACGACTCTGTACCAGTGCTGGAGAGTATAAAATTGATTGGTTGAAAATTAATGGAGCAAGCAGGAATGATAGAGAACAATTACTTGTGCATTATGGCTTTTGATAAGCTGGCAATCTGAGGGGGCACTAACATAAAGCACACCAGTAATGGAAATGCCCAGTGCAGTCTGACCTTGTCAGACAACTTCAGTGAGGCCAGAGAAGAGGGAGAAGGGTCTTGTTCAAAATTTGGGGAAACATGCATAGAGGAAGATTCACCTCACTGCTATTTAGCAAGTTAGTGCCTCGCTACAAGGGTGCAAATTGGAAGGAAACAACAAATATTCAGGAAGTTTTATATACAAGAGGACACAAAAAGGCTTTTTTTCCTTACGAGGTTCATGCAAACCAGAGTCCTGCCTTTACTTTCAGGCACATTACACTACATTGCAGCCATTTTAAACACTTTTTAGGTGTCCACTTTCTGCATTTACTGTTCCATTAAATTTGGTTCATCTCCTGTGGTGCCAACATCTTGAGCAAGGCACTGAAGAAAGAGCAAAGAATTAGGAAGAGAAGGCATGGGCAAGTTCAGTGGATGATGGCTGTGCAATTTAGAATTCAAGGAAAGAAAGTTGTCAGGGACTCGTGTCTCCAGCACAGATGCATTTGACTATATTAAGAGAGGTGTTTAATAGCCATTTGGTGAAGAAAGGTCCTGATCTCCCTCAGTAAAATGATGGCTAGAATTTTTCAGAAAACATTTTTAGCACATATGCTAATGCACATTCTCTTCGTTTTCAGACTTTTTTGGAGATGGCATTTTTAGCAAAGTTGTCGGCTTCTGTGTACAGAGTACTTTTGCCATCCCTGCATTTTACATGTGCTGCAAGTCTTAGATGCTTACAGAAATATCCCTGTTTAGAAACAAGTTACATATGGCAGCAGTCCTTGACATAGTGCCTTAGGAGATGGTTACAGTCATTGAACACTTGCCTGCTTCAGGGATAATCTTGTCTGTTTTATCACAGGTTGATTGTACCTGGTCTAGAAAGAGATTCATGGAAGGTCTTTTGCCTTCCCTTAGTCTACATTTTGCAGGTGCCTTTTGTTGCTATCTAGGCAATGAGATGTACAGCTGTTCTCCAGAAAACAAAACAAAACAAAACAAAACAAAAAAAAAAAAAAAA